CAGGCCTCACCCCTCTCACCACTGGTCCTGAAGGAGTCATCTATCCTGGATTCCCTGTGTTTCAAGTTGCTATCTGTACCAATGTACATCATCTGGTCTAGAGGCTGTAAATCTTAATAGGAGAAGAAAGCCTTATCTTTCTCACGTGGAGCAGTTGTTGGCTTTGGAAAACTGGTCTTTATGTTAGTGGTCCATGGACAACCCACTGAGCCACCAGGGCTCCTTAACAGACTGCCAACTCACTGCAATCGAGTTGATCCTGACACAGAGATCCTATATAGGTTTCCAAGGCTTCACAAATGCTTCTGGGGACAAGGCAGCCACGTGTTTCTCTTGCAGAATAGCTGATGGATTTAAACTGCAGACTTTAAGATTAGCAGTCCAATTCCATGATAGCACCACCAGGGCTTGTAAACATGAATTATGTGCACTGGAAAATATAAAAAAAATATTACTGTGGTGATCTAGAATTGGCACTTTAAATCTTTGAGGCCTGCCTTTAGTAAGAGTACTTTTCGGGGGCTTAAGTGGAGAGGAAATGTTTTGAGAATGATGAGGGCAATGAATGTACGAATGTACTTTACACAGTTGATGTATGTATGGATTGTGATAAGAGTTGTATGAACCCCTAATAAAATGATTAAAAGAAAAAAAAAAGTACTTTTCAAAATGAAATTTTTTTTTTATATATCACTAGTTTTACTTTTTGCTGCCTCTTTCCTAATATTCTACTCTTCCCTCCTACTTGGTAAAATGTTTCCTTGACTCTTGATAAATAGAAAAAAAAGTAAATAGGAATGATAAGTAGAAAAAAATATAATTTTTTTAAGCCACTGAGTCACTTCTGACTTGTAGCAGCCCTTTGTATGGTTTCTGGGACTGTTCATGTTTACAGGGACAGACACCCTCATCTTTCTCCCATGAAATGATAGTGGGTGTGTGGTTAGCAATCCAAAGCCTAGCCCACCAGGCCCTTAACTTAAACCTTGGTGGCTATACAGTTAGTGTATCAACAGGTTAAAAGTGTGATAATAGTAATATGTTCCTATTGAGTATCGTATTTATATGTGATAGATCATGTAACAGATAGCTCAGTTGTATTTGTAATCATAGAGATTTATTATCCTCAAACCTTAACATCTTTGCTTTTGCAAGTTTAAGGTAAATGCTGTGTAGCTTTGCTTACAAGCATGTAGTACACTCATTACTAACTTTTCTGGTTCCCTGGTGGTCTCTGTCGTTAAGATCTGACAGCACTGTAGAGTGCTAGAAAAAGAGCCTAGAGAGCCCCCGGGAAGCCCAGACCCAGGGAGGTGAAGAGATTGGCCCTGGTTTATCTACTTGGCAGTGCTGGGGTCATAGACTTCTTAGTTCCTAGTCTTGGTTATATAGGCACAACTACCACACATAAGTTTGTTTGGGACAGTCCATCGTAATGCTTGCTATCCCTGATGCTTACTTAAAGTGGCATATCACTAGTGTACTTCATAGCAGTGTTTTAGCATCAACTAAATATAGTGAATTACTTAACCTTTAACAATGACATACCCAAATAAGCAAGAATTAAAGTCAGTTTTAGGTGATCTGCTGTGTTAAAGAAGAAGGCATTCCTCAGTGGTATAATGTGACCATTTTCTATTCTAGCAGCAACCTCCATCTACTACAACATTTGTGCTGAACCAAATAAATCAACTTCCAACCTTGGGATCTACGATTGTAATGACTAAATCACCGCCTGTAACAACTAACAGGCAGACGATCACTTTGACAAAGTTTATCCAGACCACTGCAAACACTCGCCCTTCAGTTTCAGCCCCCGCTGTCCGAAATGCTGTTCCCTCCGCACCTTCAAAGGACCAGGTGCAACTGAAGGATCTACTGAAAAACAACAGTCTGAATGAGCTCATGAAACTGAAGCCCCCTGCTAATATTGCTCAGCCCGTTGCAACAGCAGCTAGTAAGTCTATCTGCTTTCATTTCAGTAGTACTCCAACAAGACATTGTCTACCACTTCTAACACAGATTGCTTCAGGGGCGGTGCGGGGGAGGGGGCACGTTTAGGAGATATGCCTGGGCCTGTGCAGGAAAGGGGGTATCTTATCTGCAACTCTGTACCCTTACTGTGCATGCAGTTCAGGGGGAGTAAGCATTCTGAAGACTTGGATAAAGCCACATTGGCATCTTGCTATCTTCTCCGGATCACATTGTTTTTCAGTTCTTTAAATCAGCGCTTTTCAAACTTTAAGGGCGTTTGAAGTATCTGGGGAGTTGGTTGAAAAGTTGAATTCAGTAGCTTTGGGGTGATGTTTGCATGTACACTGCTAGCAGGGTAATAGAGCGCTGCTCCTGCTGGTCCTTGGACTGTCCCGGTGGTAGTGCTTTGTGAGACTGCCTCGTGCTAGTGCTATAGTTTGACTTGTCATTGATTTTATGGCTTATAGATTGCCATCTTTTTAGTAAGAGTCTGTCTCTTAAAATATATACATATTCTAAAATACAGTGAACCCTCGCCACTTCGCGCTTCGACTTCCGCGGCTTCACTCTATCGCGTTTTTTGCGTAACAGCAC